CTGCAGCCACAAAGCCTGCCAGCTGTTGAGAAGATCAGTACAGGGCTTCTGGGTTTAGCAGCACTAAAGTTCCTAGAAGGGCCTGATCCTGTCAGTATGACTGAAGCTTGTCTAACAAAAAGTAGTAAGACTGGACCTCTCAGCACTGAAGCCAGTAGCTGTTTTCTTTTTAGAGTGTAATCAAAGCAAGAGGTGGTTGGGCCCACCTCTTATGCAATGCCCTTATGGTTAGGACATTTGCCCATGAAGTGCAAGACCTGGGTTTAGTGCCTTATTCAGCCTGCAGGGATTCATACCTTCATCCCCCACTTGCCAAGGGAATATCCTCACTGCAAGACTATATCATCTAATTGTATGGGAGGGCCCCCACCCTTCCTGTTGAAGCTAGGCCACTGTACAGAAAGGAATGCAAGGTGCATGAGAGGTCTCAAGCAAGAAAGACCATGACTGTAGCCTACTGGCTAGGGCACTCTCAAGTGGGAACTGGAGCTTTTGGAACCTGAATGGTGGGCTTGCCTGCAGGCTGAGTCAAGTACCTTTGCTCTGGAAAGACGCAGAGCTTTAGACATGTGCTTAGTGTTCTCTAGTGGATAGAGACAGCAGTTCTCCATTAATTGGATGGTTTATTTGGATTACCCTTCTGAAGGGCTTCATGTACACAGCCCCCAATTCTGGGTGACAAAACCTATAACTGTTCCTGCCTGTCACTTGAAGGGACCCATATCTTGCTTTGGATCTAGCCTGAAATTTGTGCTGGTGGAAGAGCAGAGCAAGAGATAATAAAGTTTAATTATATTTCCCTGCCTGTATGTACTCCCTTTAAAGGTTTATTCCCATGTTTTTAGGCTTTCCTCTTCCACACTATTAAACACAGGCCAGCATAGAGTCTATTATTAATAATTCTTAAAATAGCTACTTTAATTCAATGAAATTCTGAGCAGTCACATACTTTATATCATAAATATTACAAGAAAATTCTTTGTACCTGATCAGCATTTTCTTGATCCACTGCTAATTTTTCCATCAAAGCCTCAACATCCACAGATTTCTCCTTCAGGACTGGCTCTAGAGCTGAGAGATCCAATTTCATTTTATCTACAAGCTCATTTGTTTCCAATAGCTTGGATAAACCATTTTTCACACGATCCCGAGCCTAAAGTACAGTAAGAATGCATCAGATGTTTATTGGCAGACATGGTTCTTTGGGTAAATTTGATTAGACCAACTCAAATAGTTGGAAAAATTCTTCATTTTTTCCAAACGTGGATTCCAAAAAGCTCTCAAACATGGACATGCCAAATGTATATTCAAGGATATTTTTTAAAATTCTGGCAAGTTTCATCCAACTTGTGCAGCCTGTAATAATTTCTGATTTTTACAATGGAAACTTCTTTTCCAAGTGTGGTATAATAAAAATATGCTAAAATGGATGTACCAGTATTTATAAAAATATAAGAAAAGTATAAAAGAAAAACCATTGTATTTGGAATAAACTAGCCACCCCCATAAATATAGGTTCAACATTCATTTTTGTTAAATATTAGAAAAAATTACAGTAATGGATATTATTAGAAATGTCTCCAAGATGTATTTAAAAATACAATTTTTTTTCTCTTATGTTTTCTTTGGTTTGGAATTAGACATTCTATTGCAGTGTTTGCAACCCAAGTTCTACAGCATAGGACTAAGGCAAGAGAAATAGAAAGAGAAATGACTTGTTTTTTCCCCACTTTCAACATTCAATGAGCTACAAAATGGTAACAAACTGCATAAAAGTAAAAAGTAAACTGGAGGTTAACAAATCCTTCCTCTAATAATTGGTACTAGGGAAGGAAATTAGGTTGGCTTACTAGAAAACAAAGCTATTGAATTAATGAATAAAGCAATTCGAGCTGCAGCACTGCAAAGAAAGAATAATAAAATCTCTGGACAGTAGGACATATTTCTGAAACATATAGCAAAGGTTGTGTTGAATAATGTGAAACCTACTGAAACCAACTGCTTCCTTTTTTCTCTCAGCATTGTCAGGTAGAGATTGATCAGTTCTAAATAGGAAGTGGGTGTAGTATAATACCGTCGCCGCAGCTCAGCATAATATTGATCTGCCATTTCAGTTACACTCATGTGAATATCTACACACATTACTGATAGCTTCTCTTTCATCTCATAACTTCCAAGATCAACATTCAGGAAAAATGTCTTTGACACGGAAAGAAGTGCTTCTCTGGGCCACTACAAGGTGGAGAAAAGAAGATACGACTTTATTTCTTCACTGATTTCAAAATCAGTATTTGTTGCTACATATCATAACTTCTCTGTATAAAATATAGATTTTCTTTGGACCATTACAAAAAAATTAATTATACATACAAAGTTTCTCAAATGGCTTCATGAATTCTACAGTTCTGTTGCTACTTTGAAGAGGTGCCTTTGGAGAAGACTTGTGGGGGGAGGGGGAGGGATGGGTTTAGATGTTTCTACACACCATGCAAACTTTTAATTCTACCCCATGACAAAACAAAGATTTGCAGGCAGAGAGCTATTCTGGTGGGTAGAAACTTTTGCTTCTGTTCCCTATCCCTAATCAACTTTTTAGTCAAGGAGTACAGTGGTTAAGAAGGATTGCTGAACTGCTGCTCTGCCTACAAGACTAGACACATAGGCTTCCTGGAGACATAACCCCCACCCAAAAAAAGATAAAATTAAAAACTTCCCTTTACTGGAAAAAGCAGCACGTTACTTTGACCCAGTTCTGCAGCATCTTTGTATATTGGGCACTTCAGCACGGTTTTTTGGTGCTTTTCTTTAAAGCTGATTCAATTAGCTATTATATAAAACTGCCAAAAAGCCACACTAAAGTGCCTGATCTATACAAACATTGGGCAAGCTGGGTCCAACTAATTCACTGCCTTTTCTGGGGATGCACTGGGCTCAGCGTGGGAACGCGCCAAATTTAAAGTGCCATTTTGGGTGGGGGTTTTTTAAACATCTTCAAGCACCCAAAGGTTATGGACAGGTGTTCAATGTGACCCCTCAAAAATTTCCAGTGCCATGAAAATGTGGCAAGAAGAGAATCATACAGGCATTCCAGGTCCCTGGCTAGAGAGCTACACAGTTAAAGCTCTCCAGCCAGGGGTGACAAAGGACTGCTTCTTGGTTTCCCTCTTATCCAGGGGAGTCTGATTATAGAAATCCTACCCTCTCCCCTGCCTTGAAAGGGGGCAGGCTGACAGTAGTCAATTGGCAGCTGCTGAAAAACAGCCACTGCTGCTTGGACCCAAAATGTTTCAAGTGGCATCAGGAAGCCACTCTGCCCCTTGAACAGTACTGGAAAGTCCTGATACTGTTAAAAAGGTGGGAGCTGTGCTGGGGTTTCAACAGCCTCAGCACTGACCAAGCATCCAGCAGCAGGTGCTCACTAGCCCACTCTCGTTGGAACCTGATTAGTTCACACTAAATGGAAATCTTACTCGGGCAGGCAATTATTTTGGGCAGAGGGCCACTTACTGAGATCTGGCAAGCTGTTGAGGGCCGCACGGGTAGCCATGCCCCTTGACAGGTGCCCCACCTCCTGCTCACCACCTTGTGACTGGAAGTCCCGTCCCCTAACCCCTGACCTTTGCCACCCGAAGTCCCACCCCTTGCCCTCAGAAGTACTCCTTTCAGCAAGGGATTTTACCATGTTGGAACCAGAAAAATACCAAATTATATTCTAAAAATCAAACATCTACAACATTTGTTAATTTGATTTAAAAAAATATTTTTGCCCTGATTTACATGTGTTTGTGTAGTGTACATAGAGGTGATTGCACAATAGCTTACATGAAGTCTTACTCTTGTATATTGTTGGGGGTGGGGGGCATAGGAGTGGGTATAAGTTTGTGGGGGGGTGTGGGTGTATGGGTATGTGGGGTGTGGGGAAAGGTATGGGTGTGTCTGTGAGGGGTGCATAGGTGTGGGGGCTGAGGGAGCATGTGGGTATGTGTGGATATTTGGGATGTGGGTGGGTATGAGGTTTGTGGGGAGAAGTGTGTGGGGGGGAGGGTGGCTGGCATGAGTGAGGGGATGTCAGTGTGGGGGTCTCCATGTCTGGCAGTGCGGGGGGGTGTGGATCCATGTGTATGGTGGGGTGTGCATGTGGGACTTGCCCTACAAGTGTGCATGCGCCTGCACACACACACAGACACAGACATACACATGCAGACACCCCCCCCCCCATGGTACCGGTGTGGGCCCTGTGCTCCTGCAGTCCAGCGATGCTCCACCAGTGGCTCTTGGCTGCAGTGCGGGGCCAGGAAGGCAGGGAAACAGCGGGGGGTGGGGCAGGGCTGGTCTGCTGCATCCTGCTGCTGGCTCCCCCTGAGTCCTACTGCCCCTGGCTCCTGTCATCTTTGACGGGCAGCGAGGAGCAGATAAATATTAATTTTCTACATTTTTTAGGTTCCCCATGGGCCAGACAGAATAACCTGGCAGGCTGGATCTGGCCTGTGGGCAGTATTTTGCCCGCCTCTAATCTTCTTCCACTTTCAAAATGGGTTACTTTGAACAGTGGTACTCTTGTCAGGGAGTCAGAATGAGAACACTGGTGGCCACTGTGGTATAAAACCCTGAAATGTCTCAGTTATTTGTCAAATGTCTCCTACTGAGGGAGAGGCCAAGAGCCAACGATGCCATTAGCCAGGTGAAACACTCAATCTTCTTTTAGTATGCTGTAGTCAGTAAGATTCTTGGAATTAAATATCTCTGAAAAAAAGTCATGGGCTATAATAATCCTGGATTACATTCAGGAGGTTAGTTATTTACCTGATTTTTTATAATCTAGAGCATGTAATATAAATGTTTAATATACAGAGATCTTTGACTTACTACTTTTTGCAACTTAGCTAGCACAAACCTGCACAAACCAGTCAATGGTGCAGCAATTCACAAGGGATGGAAACATCCTACATCGTGCTCTAAAAGCCTCTCCTACAGGACTCATACAGAGAACAATATGCAGCTTCTGACGAACTCGATTAATAAAGAATTGAAACACCTGTTGAAAAGCACATACAACAGTTTATAAAATAAATGAAGAGATTATGATGATATTATTTGTTCAAATGAAATCTAGCCCAGTCGTATACTATAGGCAACAATCCTGCATTGGCTAAATGACTAACAGGTCATTTTTATGTCTAACATTTGTGGCTAGTCTCAGATATTGCCTGTGAAGAGGTAAAACATCTATCATTTTAGGTTACTTAATTTGTAGAAGTTTGGCAAAATAACAAATGAATAATTCATTTCCCTCCATGCTTACTTTAACATGCCAAATCCATTTCAAACGCAGCAAAAATTATAAAAATTTGCCTCCAGCCTGAATTTTCATATTTGCTATTAAAAGAGAAAAACATTCTTTTCCAACCATTTGGTTTCTCATCCTGCTTAACCACCTCCAAAGGATTAACTCATGGAGAAATCCTGCCTTCACATTTAATGCTACAAAGAGAGCTGTATAGCTAGGAAAGTCATTCCAAAGCTTAAACATTTTAGCTGGAATATAATGCTTTTAAAAAAAATCATCAACAGTAAAATTTTCCAGTACTATTAAAAATCATTATGATGGGTTCTTCCTGGCCAGGACACTGGCTGCACAGTAGCTCATTGCTACTGCACAGTAGTCACGTAGCACAAAACATGATTTGATGCTACCATGCAGTAGTAATGAGCTACAACACAGTCAGTGTCACTTAAAAGCCATTCAATGACGTTACTGCACAGTAACTCCGGTTACTGTGCATTCATTTAGTTCTTGTTTATAGAAGTACTATATGACTGCATGATAATGACTGTGCAGTCAGCATCTCATGTAGTCACAGAGCCTGTGTGGTGAATGTTATCATCAGGGATCCTGCTTTTTAAAAATCCCCAATTTTCAGTTTAAAAAAAGTAACCCCAAACACACATTTTTCCATGATTAAAATGAAACATTACTATATTCTAATATAATAAAATGCTTAGTCTGTGTGTGTGCCTGCCTGTCTGTCCATAATGCTTTTGCTCAACTGAGCATGTGTCGCCAAGAGGGTGGGCAGTGATTGGCTGCATGGGCCCCAGTTTGCACCACTGCCAGAGAAGTGTCTGGTGGTGGGACGAGGGGGGGCACAGCCAGACCCCAAGTGGCTACAGGTTGGGGGAAGGGCACGGCCAGACCCCAAATGGTGACAGGTGGGGGGGAGGGGTGCAGCCAGACCCTGAGTAATGACTTGGGGTAGGGAACAGGGCCAGATCCCAAGTGGAGGAGGGATGTGGCTGAACCCCGAGTAGTGACATGAGTGGGTGGCCAGACCCCAAGTTCCAATGGTGGTAGGGCCAGACCCTGAGCTGCGGGGAGGGAGCAGGCCTGGACATGGGGGGCAGGCCGGGACGCACGGGGGGAGGAGGGGCATGGGGCTGGACACGTGGCTCTCTTCCTGCCCACCAGCTGCCCCCTCATTCTTGATGGGCAATTTGCTAGTATATAAATATCTATATATTAATGGTGTTTCATTTAAATCATGGGAAAATGTGGATTTGGGGTTACTTTTTTAAACTGAAAATTAGGGATTTTTTTAAATGAGAGAAAATCAGGATCCCTGGTTATCATTATGAGAAAACATAACTGAGAATGTCAGAGATGGAATTCAACTCACATTCAGCTTTGTTTACTTCATGCTTTTCAATAACCAATTCTATCTATCTAGAGAAAGATGGCATTCAAGCCTCTTATTCAACTTCCATGGAAGAATGACAAGATGCCTAACCTCCTCTGAGGTTGCGT